TATATATATTAGTTTTAGAAACACTCAAAATATACAATTGTTAATTTCTTTAGGGTCTAGTACAACCAGAAAAAGTTCACCATCATCACCATTTAATAAAGAATGGACAGCCATGGGTTTTTCAGCAATGCTCTCACATCTATTTACCCTCTTTAATTGCATTTTCGATTAGTTTTGTTATTATTAATATATTATTAACGTAATGATATTAAACTTTATGTTGATGAGGAATTTTGTATTTCCTGCTTGCTTCGAAAACCRCCGATATCATCATTTTAAATCAAGTTTTTAAAACTCTGGCTTCTTACCTCTGTTCACGTGGTCTTGTTGGATCCGTGATGTACCCTTTAATGTACGCAGAGTGTTTRCTGGTTCAAAGTCCCTTAACTTTTGTACTTCAAGAGTTTTTTCCAGGTTTTCTGCCCTCTAGTTACTCTTCCCCCACTTCTAAAATTCAACTCCTGTTACTTGGGTTAGAACTCCGTTACTGTAATTTTCATAAATTTGCGAGCTCTGTGTCTGTGAGCTGCACACTGAAATTTGGTTTTCCGCTGCCGTCAATCAAACCTAATCAGTCGGTACATTTCATATTTTTGACTGGCGGCAGCGAGAAACCAAACTTCAACGTGCAGCTCGCAGACACAGAATTCTCATGTTTATGAAAATAGCACGAGTAAGTCTCAGATTGCTAAAGTATCAATAGAYCATTTTCGAGTTCCAAATTACCGCTGTGTTCCTTGATTACAGACTCATTTGCACAGGGTTAGCCTCGTATCAGTGTCTAAATATTCACAAATACCAACGGTAAAGTCAAAAGAATGCACAACTCCAATAATACGAACACTCTGAAATTCCAAGGATTTTCTCTGGCACACATGAATGTCTTGTACAAAATCGAGGCTAACCCTGAGCAACAAAGAACTCGAAACTGGAGTATTTTATAAGTGTTTTTTTCCCCCTCAAAATTCACCACTTTCGCATTCCCCACGAGACCGCAATGTATTATGGGGATGTGAAAGTGGTGAATAATATATTGACACCCGTGATTTCCAAGATGTCCGCAGTTCGTGTTCGATTATAGGTTATCGGTATCAGTCAACTGAAATGTATTATATTCATATGCGAACAATGTCAGCACACACACTCACACACACACTCACACACACACATATACACACACACACAAAATGCTAGAAAAATGCAGAAAAAAGTTTGGTCAAAAATTTCCATACTGTTGCGACTGATTGCATTCACATTGTCCATAGTGCATTTCGGGCTTGATATGCTACATGCACAACATCCTTTTGTAAAAAAATGGCTGCACAACATCTTTTGTAAAAAAAAGGATGTATATGTGGATTCTAGTTTCATTTATTCTATAAGCCACAAGTACATTCAAACGGTAGTAAGGCAGCTTATCGTGTTGTAGTAATAAACATAATGAAAGCTAAGTTAAAGTGCTACAAATATATACCCAATGAAAAAAAGAATTTTTTAACCGCAGTTTATAATATGGCCTTATTTTTTACTAACGAACAGAGAAAGAGTAAAAATATTACACGGGCAAAACAGAATCAGTGCCCTTGTTATCAATACTAACTACAATCCCACGACTAAGCTCAGAGTTGAATATTTTTATCAACAACTTAACTTAAGTTTAAAAAACAACAATTATAACGAATGGAGCTAATACTTTACCTGTAAAATTCTCTACTCTGACTCTTTACAGTCATTTCTATATTTCAGTCCCTTACTAATACTAACTACAATCCCAACGATTTAGAGTTGAAGGCGTTAAATAATTTTATCAGTAAATTAACTTTAAAAGAAAGAACAACAAGAAATCATGGAGCTACTAACAGTCAACTACTCCATTACTCGGGCTAAAATTATCTACTCTGACTCTCTTAAGTCATTTCGATTACGCGGGTAAAACTGACCCCTTATTAATACTAACTACAATCCCAACGAAATTTAAGAGTTGAAGAAATTTAAGAATTTTATCATTAAATTAAAATTAAAAACGACAAAAAAATGGCTCTACAATCAACTCTCGCAATGCGGACACCCCGACATTACGGTCACCTCGCTACTGGAGCAAGTCTCCCGGCAAAAAAATACTGACAAAGAATTGACTGTAAATAACTCTCACTATTACGGACACCAAGTGACGGTCCCGAGGGACGCTCGCTATTACGGACACCAAGTGACGGTCCCAGTGGACGCTCGCTATTACGAATGACGGATAGTAACCGACGATCCCGAGCGTGTCCGCTGTAACGAGAGTTGACTACATTATTTGTAAATTGAAACGTATATATATATAAAAGTATAAAACGTGAAGCATTCTATGTACACCTACTTGCAAGAATGTTGTCATACGAGAATAGAACATTTGTAATTTAGTAAATTAGTGATTTAGTACATTTACCGATTAGGAATAAATTATCACTGACGTCAGACTAACTACTAACATCTCAGAAACGCCAGGCAGCGCTAGAATTCGTAGTTTTACTTACGTTAGCTTTCCCAGTCTAAATTGAAATTCTTTTAGYATTGTTATTATGTCAACCTATTATTTTTACTGCATGATAGCCACAAYGTTACACGAGCAGAAACGTACAAAAACAAATACTGATCTTATTTTTTATTCATTTTCGTTTTAATTTTGAAATTACATCTTTATCTGCATGCCGGTTACATCACGTCGTCCAAAAATTATCTTTTTCTTACTGATGAATTCGAGTCTGACGTCAGTGATAATTTATTCCTAATCGGTAAATGTACTAAATCACTAATTTATTAAATTACGAATGTTCTATTCTGGTATGACAACCTTCTTGCAAGTAGGTGTATACAGATCATTGTTCCCAAATATTCTGTGACACTGTCAATCACATGACTAGTTTTGCGGTCTTGGCAGAGGCAACTTGAATCGGATTTTTTTCTGGCATGTTTTCATGATATCACTATTCTTGTGATCTTTAATAGTAGAGTCAAAACCCCGGTATAGCAAGTAGTTCATCTACTTTAAATCCTGAAAATGGACCGAAGACAGCTTAGTATATATACATCCTTCCTTACTCGTCCTTTCCTCTCCTCCCGGCCACTCTCCTCCTCTCCTCTCCCTTTCATGGACCACCCCTCCAGCCCATACTTTCACTCTTCTTATTATATCTTCTCTCTTCTATTCGTCTTCTTCTTCTTCTTCAGCATGTAACATTCATAACATAATGTAATGATTATCATTAAAAAAATACCTTTATGTAGTTTGARTCCACCTCTTGGATAATCTCCGATGCGATCTTGATTGCTCGTAAAGCGGTTTCTTTGTCATACACATCATGCGGTATGTTAGGGGAGCTCACTTGATCTGGATARCGCATGCGCATTGAATTTCCAACCTCGCATTCGAGTTGTGACGCTAGACTTTGTAGRGTGCTGTTGTTCAGTTCTCGAGCAAGCGATGTAAGGCTGTGGGTGCTAGTCTTGTCAGCGTCTTTGGAATACTGTGCTGCTTTGAGGGCTTTCTCTGCAGACTGAAAATACGAAACAATTTTAATATCAGAATGTAGCCAATCTTGTAATGCTTTTGACATATTCGAGTCATTCAAATCAGTTTTAGTTATTTAGACAAAAATRCCTTGCACATATTATGATAGTGGTCAAACTAATTGACCATTGATTAATTGATATTTAAAAAACTCATTAATAATTCATGAAGGAAACACAATAGAAATCATGACCATGAAGGAGGTTTTATATCTGATATAAATGCGTCTTCATTTGCATAAACTTTAACTTGGATTTTCTCTATCAAACTTGGTTCACTTCGTAAAGAATTCTTTACATTATGAGAACATACATCATGAGTTTTTTAAGCCGTTTAATAAACTCGCAGATCGTGTTTTATGGGGTCTAAAACCACTCGGCTACGCCTCGTGTTTTATACCTGATAAAACACTCCTGCTCGTTTATTAAACAGTACGAAAGCGATATTTCACAATTATCCTAAAGCGAGGTGATTATCGGTGGMATATTTACCAAGYCGCGAGTYTTCGAGCAGCGAGATAAATATTCACCATAATCACTAAGCTGAGGTGAATAATCGTTTTAGTATGATTSTAGACTTGAATATCAGAGAGTATCGCGGTTCACTAAAATAGTTTCTTATATTTTTGAGACGACAATATTTTGTGCTATTGTCGTTTCAAAATAAAGGTTTCTGATTGGCTAACGCGCGACGAAAAGGAAAGATTGAGCGCGTTTGGCGTTGCTTGCGCCATAGCGCGTGCTCGTAAGGAAAATTTTTGTTTTTAATCAAAGGAAATCGGTCGGTTTTCCTCTTTTTTTTGAGTGTTAAATTCTTTAGAATCGTGATCCGTCGCTTCGCGACTTTGCCAATACCGAATATATTTTCTTCCAACTAGCCGTCAATATTTCGTGGTATTGCCGTCTCAAAATCGTACTTAGTTTATAAAAGTCGAAATGCTGGATAAAAAATTGTCTTAGTATTACCAAGGGAGCAMGGCAAATGCGCGCAAGCTCGCGGTTTTCATCTATTGGGTTTCCTGTGGTAAAAATGGGCTTCCTGTGGTGATGACGAATGCGGTTTTTCGAAAAATATAGTGCGGGCTCAATGCARTATGGCGCTACACATAAGTTAAAGGTGTATATTTATACCAAAGCCCAACCAAAGCGCGACAACTGCTATAACAGTCTTCCTCTGTCAAAATTACACCACAGGAAACCCAACTGTTCAAAACCGCGCGCGTGCGCCCATTTGCCGTGCTCCCTTGGTATTACTTTCACTCTGGTAAACTTTGGGAAACCTCATAATCAACCCGCTCGAGCAGTGAATATCGTCTCATAATCACTTGTCGTTCGACCAATCACAGCAGGCGAAACTATATTCAAATCCAAGATTATACTAACAAGGATTAATCACARGGGTGGTCTTCAAAGTTGTTCATCAATTGAAAACAATTAAAAGTTTCAGTTCAAATCATGCGAGCCAGTTCATACGATTATTTGTTTCAACACGGAATCAAAGGCACGCTTTTTGATGTCTCGCGGGCATGAGCGAAGTAAAATACACTCATCTCCGCAATCAACCAATGAGAATTCAGTAGTAACGAAGTTCTACAAATTACGTGACACGCGATAACATACCTGATGGCACTTGAAGCAAGCCCATTCGTACGAGGTTCTTTGACAATCTACATCGTTACTTGCCGCTTCCAGATCTGCTTCCGCTTGTTTGTACCACCTTCTTGCTTCACCAGGTTGAGGGTTACGTCTGTATGACCTCCAAGAAAAAGTAGAAAAGCCACCACCACTATAGAAGGAAGATCTTTGGCCACTGTGATATCGTGCACGGTCTGACCAGAAATTAAAAAAGCTACTGTAGAATCCGCTGTAGCTGTGATCAGATCTCGTGGCACTCCGTGTTCGAGTCTTCCCGGCAAAGCGTTCTTCTTTTTCAAGTCTTTCGATTTCCTGCTGAATAAACTTAAACACCTCTGTACAAAACTGTTCATTTCCAGGATTCTTGTCTGGRTGCCACTTAAGGTACAGACGCTTTATGATCTTTTTTCGTTTCTCTTCGGGTTGCTTCCAAGCCTCTTGRAGAATTCTTCTGATCTCGTTTCGAATTTCATGCTCATCAAGAYTGGCAGGCTTTTCATCTTGAGAACCTGTGAAGGGTTCYATTTCTAAACACTCACTGTTCCCTTGRCTTGGACGATAGAACTTGTACAAGTCTGCTGCGTCTACAACAATTGGTTCTTTGTCTTTCCCGATATCAATTCTGTATTTTCTTAAGCTTGGTTCTGTGTTTGAGGGTTGTCCRTCCTCGGTGACTTCTTCGATGACAATTGCATAGATGTAGGTTGGGGTGCCATCTTCTCCTCGAAGACTTGGATCATCAAGCTCGTAACCAACGTACTCACCAGGACTRAACACTGTGAAGTCATCCACCAGCAAGTGATGGTCTGTAATATGAATGAAGCTGCCAGGTGTAGGAAGACTTGTTGCTTCAGTTTTTATCACTGACTTGTCCTCGCGAATCTTTAGTCTATCCAAGAGTCCCTTTATTTCGTAGGGTTTTGATGAGAGCAATGTCGGAAGGTGAACCAGCATTGTTTTCAGAAGATGTCCCGTTATTCTATCTATAATTTCAGCCACCACTGAAACGTACGTGGAAAGATCAGCTTCCTTTTCGATGTATATCTTCCACACTTTTTGATCCTTTTCTTTCGTTTCTTCCTCGAAGCAAGAAACGTCTAATTCACTCCTAGGTATTGCTCTACCACTGTACACAAGCTTCGTCCGAAGGTTAGGAACGCTGTACACATGAATGCATCTCAACCTTTCTTGTACCAAGGCAGGGATTTCTGTGCTGGTCTGCACATCACTTTTGTAGTCAGCATGTTTGATCAGGCGTATCATTCCATGACAAAACTCACKTGATSTCAAAACCTGTCGGAGGTACTGTGCTGTACTGGAACAAGAAACAGCCTGGTCCCCGTCCATCAATGTTTCATGAACCACTGACGTAAGCATACGAGGACGAATGGATTSAGGAAGTTTTTTCAACAGCAAGTCATCATTAGSAACGTTCAATCCACATTCAGAGAGCTTGACCAGGATTAAGTTGTTGAAATGTTCAATTCTTTCTTTAAAATGAGGAGCATCATTGTACAAAATATSWGTAGATTTTCTCAAAAACACCATATTCTGAGCTTGGTTATCAGGGTTTCGCATTGTTCCTGGCAAGTACAGTTTTAAGCCTTCAGCGGGTGTTCCTTGGTCGTCTTTAGCAATTATGTCAAAAAGGCCTTTGGTTGCCTTAAAGGCATTGGATATCTGGTTAGGATCCAGTTTTTGGTAAGCAGACTCCGTATATATGCTTCTCAGGACTTCTGCATACTGTGCTACAGTGATAGTGTTGGTTGTACCAAGATTCTCAAACAGTACTGTATAAGATGCCACTTCCTGGGGAATCTTGTACAGATATGGCTGGATTTCCTGGTCTGATGTGATATCCACGGCCACTTGGTTAGGAAACACAAATCGCTCGCCACCATCAACTACAATGCAGTGGATGTTCTTCAGCTCATTTATGACCTTTTCATTTCCATTGTAGTTCCTTTGCAGATACTTGTAAATGCTTGTCATTATTGCAATAATCTTTTTAAGATCATTAATGCTTCGTTTTCCGACAAAGTTGTCGGTGCAATTCAATTGGTACTGTGCGTTGCAAATGTTCTTGCTATGATTGACGACCATATCAACGGATGGGTTTTGAAGAATGCCCAGTCGTTGGGAAATCTCGTTTTTCTCTTGGTTAGTAACGTTATCACAATGCAACGGATTGTGAGTCATTGACAGAAGGTTAGCAGTTGTCCAGGTAATATATTGGTTCTTGGAGGCTACAGAGCCTTGAAAGCRAATACACGGTGAACCAGTTTCACTCGTGCCATACTGCTCGTGGATGGCTTCCAGACTAGGATCGACGACATAGGGAAAGATGAAACAGATTTCCTTAACATCATCCAGTAGCTTGCTGGTTGCAATGTTCTCAGATTCGAAAAGGTAAGTTAATAAAGCTTCCGATTTCTTTCTCGTTCCATCATCTAGCCTTGTTTCGGCTTCAAATTTAACTTCTTTGGCAAATTTCAGGAACTGTGCATCACTGACTTCATGGATGAGTCCTATCCGACGTAGAAAGGGTAGCCATTCAGCCTCACAAAACGGTTCTGGTGGAAACATCTCTTGGTTGTTTTTAAACATTGCAGCAAAAACTTTGTTAGACGGATCGTAAAAGGAAGATGCTGGTTTTAAAGCCCCATCTTGTGCTGTCATAAACTTCATTTTGAAGAGCGCTTGACTGAGTTTTGTCAGTTTTGCCAGTTTTGCTTTTTTCGTTATTTCTTCATCGCTTAAAATTGAAATACTTGTTTTTAGCACATTCAGTAACTCGCGGACAAATATCACGTGTTTTATTCGTGCTTCTTCGCATATCTCCTCAAACTTCTCGAAGATGATGTCACAGTAAACATCCACCTCATCTTTAGTGTGACATTGAAGGAATTCATGCAGCTTTTCCAAACTCCTATTCTCTTTGAGAAAAACGATTCCTGACGTTTCTTGCCATATGTGCATGTCGTCCTTTGGAATTCTTGACGACAGAACATATGCTTGCTTTCCGCTGATACTAATGATGTCATCGTGAATGGTTTCGTAAAGAGGCAACCTTTTCAGTTTTTCAGCAGTTGAGGGTTCCAGCTTGGTAAGGTGATTATTAAAATATCCTAGCACATGGAGACAATCATCTGCKTYAAAGGCTTTAAATGAGTTAGGATCAAAACTCATTTTCTTCAAAAGTACAGTAAGAACTGAATTTGGGTCTGCAAGAGATGCCACAAGTCGTTTTGCCGTTTTAGAAGGTCCACTCCTGTACCCAGACATAGATTCACCATCGATCAAGCTGCAGTTTAGTTGAGGAAGGAGAATTTTCTTCAAAGTTTCCTTTAAGTCGAACCCGGTTGAACTTTCTAAATCAATCACAGTGTTAGACATGCCCATGGGGAGGAGGATATGCTTGACACTAACTGGGTGGACGTGTGGGTTAGCTTCAAATGCTGGTAAAAGACACCAGTGCATCACAGGAGTTAACGCCTYTTGGGCTATGCACTTCCTTGCCTCTTTGTCTTGCAGTTCATGGCGTTGTTGCAACTCCTTTCTCTCATGATAATTCTGAGGATATTTCCTTGTACGACTCTGTGCTTCATCGTAACGCTCGACCTTTTTCTCGATATAATTCGAAAAGAACCTCCACACATGCCATATCCATTGTTTATTTGGAATCTGGTGGTTTTTATTCTCTGGATTCCAAATCACAACTCTGTCCGTCGTTCTGTAATGGTTCTCGTCCATTTCCCTTGGGAGAAGACTTGCAAAAGCTTTGATGTCAAATGTCTTAAAGACTGGAGACATAAATGGGTTGGAGTCCCGATCAAAATGAAAGACGCCATTGAAGAGCTGTTTGTGCACAAACATTGAAGAACAACTAGGAAGTATTTCACAGTAGCTGCTAAGGAAGACTTTGTCTGATTGGCGGAAGACTCCGAGAACCTCATCTTGAGTAAGTAAGAGTGGCAGACCATCAAGTCTTTGGAAAAACTTTGCATCTTGTTTGCAGTATTTTAGAATCCTTAGTAAGTTTTCAATATTCCTGAATGGGGTCTTTGAAATTGRCAAGGGTAGATTTCCTACGTCACACAATTGATCAGAAGAGTTGTATGTTGAAAAGAAATCAATAACATCTTTTGGAGTTATACGACTCACATCCACGCTTGCCGTGATAAAACGGTTGTGAACGTCGATATCATCCGGTGTAAAAAGCAAATTGATACCCAAGGCAAGGAGAGTGTCTCTCAGTCTCTTAGAGTCTTTCACAGCTTTGATTTTCATTTCTTCGTTGAGTGATTCGTAGTATGGGGGTAGTTTATCTGATAAACTACCAAAGAAAGCTCTGTTGCGTCCATGCCCTGTTGATGGCAACCACTCAATACAAACACTATCTTGGTGTTGATTTCCTTCAAAGCTTTCGCGTAGCACTGGAAGMARASGCAARYKTCYTKCATTCATGTAGCGGTACACTTCYCTTGTCAGAGTTTTCCAATACTCTTCTTTGACAGCAAATGATGGAAAATACTTGAAGTAGTTTGAAAGAACACATTCTCYATTATTTCGGTCACCATTAATAAATGTCTTTCCATTAGCGTTTCTCGGCAAGGATATATGCTGCCTCACCTCRTCTAGTAAGGTTACATAGCAYGGCGCAACCACTTGTCGCAGTAATGCATCATTCCAGTTACTCCTGTAGTCTCTTTTATCATCTCTCCACAGGCTTCTACGATCCTCGTGGTTTAGAGCAAAATGGCCATTAATGTGAACTGGAAGACCGGTTTTGAAAGGAAGGGGAAGAAAACAAAAGGCTTTTCCCTGAGTATCTTGGTGATCCCCCGAAGAACTGATCAACGATGCCACTCCACCACGTGGTAACAGACCAAGATCTCCTCTTTCAAATGCTTCTTCAATGTTGTCTGGGATGTCCTCTTGGTTTTCAAAGCCAATTTGCTGTACGACAAACCATTTCTGTTTCAGACCTCTACTATCTTTCAGTTCCAAGACATAGGAAACTTTCTTTAAAGGAATGTCAGTCACTGATATTTCTCTACTCTGTAGATTGACATAAGTCGTAAAATCTCGTCGTTTTTCTTCGTCTTCTTCTGATAGCGATGCCGTCACACTGTATTTTTCGGTCATGTTTCCAGTTTCCTTGTCAATCTCAAAGACTGAGATTTCTTTCACGTTGTTAACAAAAAGAAGAATTTCAAGCATTTCGTTTTTGAAAGAATCAAGCAGGTTATTGAGATCTTCATTTGATATACATTTAGGGGTTATGCAGCTTTTTGGCTCTTTAGCCATTTCCTGGTTGCGAAAAGGAAAACGAAACATCGTTCCGTTGTTAATTGGAAAATGTTCGCCAAGGTAGCAAGGAAACACATCGGTGAATATTCTTTTGAGGTAAGAAATATTGTCGTAAATACCTCCAGGGTTGAATTCATCTGCACCAGGAACGAACCTCAAAGTTGGGTCAAATACGCACATTACTTCGCCAATCTCTTCTCCTTGTGACATAAATGTTGGCGCATCGGTCAGATGATACACTGCATTGAATCCCACACCATACTGACCAGTTTTGTTTGGATCATCTCCTTTACTCCCTTCGCCAAGGTTTTGTATTCCCTCGATGTCACTCTTTGTGAATGGTGCGTTGTTGTAAACGCACAAAGCAGGCCCTTGGAGGGGCTTCCAGCACTCTTCAAAGACTCTCTCATCTGGATGTTGCCGTGGATCATTGATAAAACAGACTTTTTTGGCCTTAGCATCGTCTGCATTCTGGAGAAGTTCTTTCATGATTGATTCATCGCCTGGATATCCGTCTAGTATGCGTTTAAGCCTTTTAGTAAGCTTCTCTTTCTGTCCAAATGGACGACCAAATGTGCGCTTGCATTTGCTAAGTGTTTCCTGTCTTCTTGTCTTCGCTCCAAGTGTGATGCAATCCTTTGGTGGTATACCGTCATATGCATAAAGGACTCCTTCCTCATCGGGCATCCAATAGCAGTCCTTCACACATACATCTGTTGACGGTTTCATAATCCTCTTCGAATCAGGGAGGAAAATAGTTCCATACTTCTCCAGATCCTGCTTTTTCATGATAGCTGCCACCAATTTTGAAACAGTTACCACCTTATCGAGCTCTTCTGTAACTGGATTCTCTTCATGTTTATGTTTCACCTTTTGAAGCGTCTTGATGTAATCATGGGCCTCAAACGATTCTCGAACCCCAGCGAGCATAAACAATTCACGAAATTTCAGATAGCTTTCAGTCATTGGGCATAGATATGGCGGAAATTGGATTTCTGAAGAAAATGCAACTTGTTCACATGAAAGAAAGTGCTTCTCGACGAGAATGAACTCAAGTGGTTTTAGGAAGTCCACGATGTCTTCCTTTACTTCCCTGGGACTGCATTGAAGGTAGTCATACATTTTCTCTAAACCTTTCTTGATTTCATCGAAGCTGTTGGTTTTTCGAAAAGCTTCGTCCGCTGCTATTGCACTTTTCAGCTGCATCTTGACTTGATCAAGAGAAGCTGTCTTATTAGTCATGGACAAAATATTTCCAACTTTSCKGTTAAGGTGGCCACATCCACTTTTAGARTCATCCAGGATCGGTACACACACACTGGCCAAATACTTCACCTCTCTCGGGTAAAGTTCTGCTGCAGATAGAAAAGTGTTGATTTGATATTCGTCTCCCCTCCATTTAAAAGGGAAGGCTTCTGGTTTTTTCATTATCGGAAGGAACTGAACTCGTTGCAGTCTCGTCTGAACATCATTGTCAACCTTATGATCGTTATCCAGTTTCCTATCAATGAAGGCAAGAATCAGCTTCGTTCTTTCCAAAGCTTGATGGTAGGGAACAAGACTTTTGACGCTCTCGGCTCTTTCTATTACTTCTTCCCACTCAAGGTMATCATCTCGCATACCTAATCTCTTTAACGTCACTAAACGTTCCTCCGAAGTAAACTTATCCCCAAGAGGAAATCTCCCGTCTTCAGGGCTGAACAGTTGCGCCGCTTTGCCACCGGGATTGAGAAGTTCTTTAGGGTACTTTAGTTGAAGCCCCAATGRTGAAGAAGGAATACAACGATTACTTCCAACAAGTTCCCTAAGTATCTCTGAAGTGTCGTCAAGAGCGTAGAGAACGAGTTCGTTTCTTGAGCCTGCGCCTATTGAATCAATGGCGGGAAAGAACACTTCACTGAAAAAACGTTCTTTGTTGTAACACATCTTTTGTATCCCATTTTGTAGTTCATATCTTTCAAAGGATCTCGATACATCTTCAGGMATGTCAACTACAATGGTATTTGTACCTTCTAAACTGGTCTTGAATAGGTCAAATGCGATCTGGCCAATCTGTTGCACCCTTCTAAATGCAGGCTCCAAAAACACGACATTCTGCATACTGGTCCATTCATGATTATCTGAAAACAGCTCTGGATGTTCATAAAATAATGAACTGTAGAATCGGGAAGCGATCCCATGGCAGTTTGTTTGTACATCAGAGCAYCTTGGCCACAACGAATGAAATACGTATCCATTGCGCGACGACAAGTCCTTCATGTCATCCAGCATGCTGATGTATGTCTGACAGACTACTTCCCTCATAAGAACATCGTTCCATGCTGCACCTTGGTCTGTCTTGTCTTCTTCTGTTCTTTCACGTAGATAACGTCTGTTGTCACTGACAGCAAAACAACCGTTGATATGGACTGGAAGGCCACTGTGGATGGGTAATGGAAGGAAGCAAAACACTCCACCATTATGGCAAGACGTACTATCTTGATATTTATCCTGAGAGTCGAAAGGCTTCGCTATTGGAACAGGTACAAAGTTCCCTGGGTGTACTTCTGTAAGCTTTGCTGCTACTCCTGCTGTAGGAAGTAAGCCTTTGTTCCTTGATGCCATTTTCAAAGCTTCTCCTTTAACCATACAAGACGTAACCAGCCATGAAACTTGAGTCCCTCCTGAGGCAGCAAAAGCAGCTAGATATTCTTTACCCTGATCTGATAAGGCACACTGACAGTTAAGTATCATGGAAGACTTCATGAACACTCTATTCAGAGAACTGAAGTTTCCGTTTAAAAGCTGTTCCATAAAGGAAGAGGATGCTTTTAAAATGCTGCTTTGCTTCACAAACTCTTGTTCTTCACTTGTCAACTGCTGCACAGAGTTTGACAATGAAACTTCACTTTGGAGTTGGTGCACTACCCTCCTGCATGACTTTGAGATACGAAATAACTCGACTGGCTCTGGAGATTCTGTGCTCTCATTTCTCAAGTGGTACACAGTAACTCGAAGTACATTCTGAGTGAACAGTAACAAAGATTCTGCTCCATGGAAAAGAATTCCCAGCAACTCTTTTACCTGGTTCCCATCGTAGTGAAGATTCTTGATTCCACTTTTTAATGCCTGACTTGCTGTTCTAAGTGGCAATCGAAACAGGGTACCATTGTATGATTTCTGCTGTGCTCCAGGTCGAAGGTCGCAGCCAAATATCCCATTGTACGGCTTAAACTGGTTTTCCAGCCTGCAAAGCTTTCTCTCCTCCATTCTTARCTTTATTCCAGGCTTRCTCTTGTCTCGTATTCCCTTWCCAAGGTACGTGGTATGAGGGTCGAGAATCACGATAGAGTTTCTACTGACAAAGCTTGGAACATCTGTTAAATTGTAAACAGAGTTAAACCCAAGACCAAAACGTCCAATCTTTCTAGAATCTTCCTTCTTAGTGGCTGCGTTGAGTTTGACGATGTTCTGGAAATCTTCATCCGAGAATACGGCATCGTTGTAAGCCCACAGGGCGGGACCTTGACATTCTTTCATCCCTTCGTCTATCAAGCGTGTCATGCAATCCTCGTTTGTTCGCTCATCGTACAAGATTCGTACCTCAGTGGCCCCTGCATCATCAGCGTTCTGTATCAGTTCTTTGGGCACAGACAAGCCGTCAGTATACCCATCCAGCAGCCCACGAAGCCTGTCTAACAGCGACTCGGACTGACCGAAACTTTCACCCATTTCAAGCTCGTCTGCACTAAGGAATCGGCTCATCAGTGTAGGTACCTCTAACAGCTCTGCCGTCGAAATCGGGACGTTTCTGTGAACTAGCTTGATTTCCCCCTCTTCTTTATCATCAAAATCACTCATGTCATAGCCTTCTTTTTGCCACTCTAGATCACAATATGTGCACTCGCTAACTGAAACGAGCTCAAGTCTCGTATTGTCTTTAACATCTACAGGAAGTAAGAGTGTTTCTCTAAGATCTGTACTGAATGGTTGTCCATTTGAAGGTTTCAGTTTATTTAAGATCGTAATTACGAGAGTCAAATCACGTTCACAGGAACTAGGTTCTTGTTTTCTTTCCTCGTGGGCTGTCTTGATTTGTCTAAGGATATTTACCAAATCCTCTTCATTGAATTTAACTTTTATGCCACACTCTTTAAAGAAGCCGCTGAAACCTTTTGTTTCTGTTGGTAAAGATGAAAAGTACGGAGAAAGGTTTATAGACGGACTCTCGATTGAAATTTCATTTGGACTTGAAAATCCATCTCCGTTCCACACCCACTTTGAGATATTCTTTCCTTGCAGCGCTTTCTTAACTTCAGAACTGTTTTGTTTGGCAAGATAAGAGTAAATATCTTTGACGACAGGAATGAAAAGATGCTTTTCGTCGACGTTGTATTCTGAAGTGACATGTCGAAGGTGCATTACGACGTCGCTTACCACTGGGTTTTCGTTCCATTTGAAGTACTCAGAGAGCTCTGGACATGCGTTAGATTGTATGTCAACTAGATTTTTAACACTCCCAACAACATTAATAAAGTCAATTGACTTGACATCTTTGGGACAGGCTAAAAAACCCGCGTCACCTTCCTTCAAGGGAAGAGCGCTAGGATACGTTATAGGCCTAGTAGTGACCACTGGAACCCAGGGAATGGACTTGAGTTTCTGGATGACGGGTTCTTCAGAGCCATTTCTCTTTTTGAACGCATTTAAATGCTTACTTAAATACATTAAGATACCATTTGACTTTTGGATTGCTTCGCTTTGATCTTTGATGTCTGTAACCATATTAGCACTGTTCAAGACATCACATGGAGTGATCTTTTCTTGTCCTTTCAGACCCAAATTCTTCAAATGAGCATTAACTTCAGGTTGTGAGTAATACGACGTTTCCGGAAATACCTCTTCACCCAGGAAGATTTTTGTAAGAAGATCATCTTCAGGATTAAACAGTTCGGTGGGCTTCTTCCTCGAGTTGTCACTAGACACAACAAATGACAAACACTGTAGCTTTTGTTTGATGCACCTTAATTCCTTCCCATGAAGACTACCAAACCGTTCAAGGGTGTACTTGGCCAGCACGTCAACCTCCCTTTGAGCATAGTTGTTACGCAAAGCATCGTCCAACAATGTCTTCAATAAAACAATGAGTGTCATTTGCAAAGTGTTGAGCAATTGAGCAAGAGCTCGGCTGCTGCGATCTCTCATGTCAAGTAAGTCGGTGAATACAGACACAGCTGGCAAATCATCGACTGGAGCTCCAATATTCACTTCCTCTAGTGACACGAAACGCGACAGTCTCTCTCCACAACCAACATATGTTTCAAACAAGGGTAGTTGTCGTAGTAAAAATGTTTCATTCGGTKTTAGACTCGATAAACTTGAAAGAAATGTTCTGAATGAACGAATCTTGTCAGCAGGTAGTCCTCTCATCTTCTGTAATAGGTCGTCCTTTCTCTGGGGACTTTTAAAAATGACTCCCATGGCCTGAAGTACCCCCTTTGGACTTGCCGGATTAACGAAAGAAGGAACTAGTTCCGGGTAATGCCGAATGCACTCTGGAAGATCTTTCAAGATGGTTATACCAAGATCCTCCAAGACGTGACACACTGACTCATCAATATTTTCACCGTTGAAAGAAGCAAGAACAAGACTGCATGGTTGCTGAATTCTTGCAAGATGTACCTCGCTCTGATTGGACAACGGGGTCACAGGAACAAGAGAAAGCCCGATAAATGCATCTAAATCAGACGTCGAGTGTGCAAAATGTCTACCAAAATACTCCCACAAGGTCTTCAACCATTCAATTGCTGGGTGGTTGGATTTTCCAGGGTGCCAGGTCACGTGATYTTCTGAGCCTAACCAATCAGAAGGCAGCGTTTGGTGGAGATGCCGTATAACAGCTTCTTTGTTGAAGTAACATAACTGCGTATGGCCTGTAAAAAAGGATACTTTTAATGATCAATCAATTTCAACAAAGTTTCGAAATTTTGTAATTCCATATTTTACAATTAATGCATGCTCAATTACAGTAATTACATAWAATCATCACTAATTGAACATTTCATTATCGAACATTAATCTGGCCGTGGACATCARCTAGCATTATCATCAATCATCATCACTGATGATTGACACTCATTTTTAGTCTGATTAGTTACCTTTCCTAACTGCCTTTTTCAATTTGTCTGTTACAATGTCATCCAAATCTGTATCCAAGAACCTTCCCTGTAACCCTGGCAACAGTGACTTTGGGTGTTCAGCGGAATCAATGTAAATTGGATCATCTCTTCCTCCTCTGAATGCTGTGAATGTCTTGTCAGATAAGGGTAGTAATTCGAGACCTTCAAGTTCTGTGAAGTTAGAATCACTGAGAACAAACTTCAGAAGTAGAATCTTGTCCTGGTGGCTCAAACAGGAGTAGCAAGATGGATATGCCTTTAAACTCTCTCTCAATGTCTTTGGGGTGACATGATTTATAGTACGGAATTTATGCAGAGCTGATTCCACATGTGCTGGAACTGTGACAACTTTTTGGCTTGCTTTGTTAAGAAGGTCAATCACAATTCCTCTCGTGGACTGATCACTTTTCTCTAGACTGTCAAGGAGAACCTCTTCCACTTTGCACCAGCCTCCGCCATTAGCATYCGTGTGTAACACTTCAGATTGCAGCAGTATATCAAATAATGGCTTCAGAATGCTCTTCCATTTCACATCAACTTTGTTTACGTCTGGCCATGCACTGTACGCATCACTTGTGACCAACCTTTGTCGTGGTTCCTCYTTTGACAAACATGAAATGACATGGAGAATAAGCTCAGCGTAGGCCTTGGGCAGCACTTCCTGCAACAACCCTTTGTTCCACAGCAATGACTTGTCTGTTAAGGGTTGGATTGTTTCATCTTGATCAGCACTTGGCCATTTCAGATGACGACGGTTCTGACTCAAGGCAAAGAAACCATTAACATGAACAGGCAGACCTGTCATGCTCTTGGTTTCTAGCGGCAAAGGTAAGAAGCAGAAAATATGGCCCTGTGGCTCAAATGGACTTGTTTTCGTCCTCTTCCTTTCGTTCCCACTATTTATTTTTCTTCTCTTGATTCCGTTTCCTGTGCTGTTTTTTATAATTTCAGAATCATGTTCATCATCGATATCGTCATCCACACATTTCTCGTTAAGATCCCTATCCATGTTAACATCTGTACAGTCTTCGTGCTTCACTTGTGGCTGAAGAGGTAAAGCGACACCAACCAATGGCAAGTAGCTGAGCGATTCATCTGTCATCAAAGCTTTTATCTCATGAGTTACATCCGAYCCACTAAAATACAATGTAACGACAAACGAGTGCTCTATAGGCTTCGTGCTTGGTGTTTCTCCTTCGTTGTAATGTACTGTTTCGATTGTAAGAGTGTAACTTTTTTTCACCTCAGGAAAGGAGGAACCTTTGGAAAGATCTGAAATATTTTTTTCTTTCTTTAATTTGAATTCTTTTCTCGCTTTCCTGACATCTGCCAAGCAGTGGTCTGAGATCCCGACATGGAATAGTTTTCTAGGCTGTGAAGAGTCTGCCTCTCTCTCGTAARCTTCAATCCGTTCAATATTCATCAAGAAAAGTAGAATCAAATGAGCATCTTTTTCAAAGCATTTAAACAAACTTTGAATCTTTTCTCTCGAGTAAACTGTCTCCGATAACGGCGACTGTTTTTGCCTTAAAGGCAAACGAAACAGCGTTCCTTCATAGCTACCTTTTTCAAAGGATTCATTGGTGCAGTTAAAAATAGGTATACCCTTGTATGGGGAGAACTGGTCTGAAATATGCTCTTCGCTATGAATATTCAAGTACCATTTTTTGCCAGATATCCTAAACAATTCGTTGCTACCAAAGAACTTTTCACTTGGGTCCAGGCTTCCAAGAAACTGGCCACTGATCATACTTGGTAGGTCTAAAATCACAAGTAAATCACAAGATATTGGCAAAAGTTTTGGACTCTAAAATGTATCTTGCCGGTTCTGTTTATTGCGATTCAGCAGGCATTTAATTTAATGGTTTGCGATAATTTATGACTTAAAGTTATTTAAGTGCTACAACAGGTTTGACAACTGCCCGGGAGGG